TAAGAGAAATATAAATAATATTAGGTTTTTTAATACTTACGTTAGTAGAAAAGATGGCTGGGCAGACGGGGATGGGGGGTTGGTTCCGAGACAGAGGGCAGATTATTGGCCCTCACCTGTATCATTTGTATCAATTGTATCACTATCCACCACAGAGGCTTGCAGGGCCTATTTGTCAAACCCCTCAAAGTCCGTATCCTCACTATCACTGACTTGGGCCGCTGTGGTGGGTGGCGGATGAAGAACTCGGTAATGTTTTGATGGCTGGGCGACCTAGTGTGCACCCTGCCCGCGCCGCTTCCCGCGTAATTGATGAAATTTACCTCGTAATTAAACCATTTCATTCTGGCAAGGCACCGCGGTGTAAATGACCAAACGCGTAAACAAAACCGCATAAATCCAGACTATACTGTACTTTGAACCCAAGAATTTATCAAATGCTCAGATCATCCTTTTTCATTCAGAGACCCCCTCGGCCTAAGAGAATCCCACCTTGGTCTCCTGATAAAGTTACTCAATTTCTTATGGGGCCTAATTACAATATAAATCTGAACTGGGACAGATTGCTCTAGAAGGCAGCCTTCCTTCTAGCAATAGCAACAGGTATGAGAATCAGTGAACTGATTTCAATTTCCAATAATCCATCGTCATTGGTATTTTCTGAGGAAGATGTCGCCCTTTTTCCTACGGAGATTCTAAGAAAAAATGGAAGGGAGGATTTTCAAGCTCAACCTATCAGGATAAAATGGCTAATGGATGAGACAAGGGTTCCTCATATATTGTGCCCAGTTAAGAATCTTCAAGAATGGTTAACCAGTTTCCCTAATCGAGGCCCCTATGTATTCTCATCACAGGATGGTAAGAAATTGTCTCCTAGTCAAATGACAAAATATTTATCCCAATTAGTGAGTCAAGCAGACCCTGGCAAGATATCACTTAGCAGCTATTCTTAGCTCGCCTTTGTGTCCGAGGTGGCCAATAATGTATATAGTCAACCCTCACTTTACGCGGTTAATTCAACCCACGGCGGCCCGCGTAAAGTGAACAACATAACATATGGGATTAATTGAAATAGAGACCGGGCCGACCCCCAAACTCCACTTTTTGACGACACACAACTATGTTGTAGTAAAAATATTATCTTAACTTTATGATGGTATGCACACAATTAATATAGAAGAGGTTAGGTTAGGAAAAATAAAGGTTAAGTTAGGAAAAATAAAGGTTGGGGTTAACACTTACGTGAGTAGAAGAGATGGGTTGGCGTACGGGAATGGAGGCTGGTTCCGAGGCAGAGGGCAGGCTACTGGCCCTCAGGTGAGTCACCATCACTGTCATCTACACTTGTCAGGGCCTCCCTGACAAATCCCTCAAAGTCATCATCACTGTCTCTACCTCTGTCACTATCACTGGCTTGGGCTGGCTGTGGTGGGTTGCGAGCGAAGAACTCTGTTATGCTTTGCTGACGGCTGGTGTTTATGTTGTCGTGATAAACCTTGATGTAGGGCTCCATAGTCTGCAACAGCTGGGTAGTGAAAATTTCATACCTGTTAGCGTCAGGGTCGTCGGAAAGGAGGAGCTTGACTTTCTCGATACACTCGATGGCACCCCTAACATTACTATGGGATAAGCGGTGTTCTTCTTGGGATGACGCACCACCTGCCTCTTCACTGACGTCATCATCATCATCTACCATCTCGACGGTAGTCACATCAGGATCCCTTATCAGCTCCAGGATGTCGTCGTTGGTGGTCTCGGAGAAGCCTGCAGCTGTAACACTCTGCGCAGCTTCTCTGGCAAGGTCCACTGCTACTGCAACAGTCTGAACCTCACCAGTCACAGATTGACTCTGCCTAACGGCCGGAATGCCTTGCAACACATGTCTCCATGCGTGACGAACAGTTGCTACAGACAGCTGATCCCATGCCTCCACCAAGAAGTTCACAGCTTTCTTGATGTTGAATATTCTCCAGAATTGTTTCAAAAGTACTTCTTGCTCTGCCCACTGTTGATCCTCGTCGTCTTCGCTCTTGCTATCGGTGGTGGTGTCACTCAGGTTACGCAACTCTTCCCTGGTGTTGGTGTAGTCGTTCAGGAGGTTGAATTTTTTAGTAGAGAATGCAGCTTTTACATTACAGATTAACTCTTGGTCCATGGGCTGTAATATAGACGTAGTGTTGGGAGGAAGGAAGACCACTTTTACGTTGGGGTGACGATCTAACAGTAGGGGCGAGTGTCCTGGTGTGTTGTCCAGCAGCAACAAAATCTTGAATGGCACATTCTGTTGCTCACAGAATTTCTTCACATCGGGAACGAAACAGTCATCAAACCAGGAGAGGGACAGTGTAGAGAACATCCACGCCTTATGTGCGGTCAGCCAGTGGACATTTAGCTTGGTCATGTCCATGCTCTTGTAGGCGTGCGGCTTGCGTGCTGTGTGGATCACCGATAACTTGAGCTTATAGGTACCGGAGGCATTGGTGGTAAACAGGACGGTGATGCGCTCCTTCTGCAACTTCCGGCCCCGAATCTTGCTGGCATTCTTCACAACGAAGGTCTTGGAAGGTAGCTTTTTCCAAAAAAGACCAGATTCGTCCATGTTAAACACCTGGTCGTCGGTGTACTGTCCTTCCTCCATAATCTCACGTAAAAACGGAGGAAATTCCCCTGCCGCAACACGGTCAGCACTACCTTCTTCACCACCAATGTTGATATTGGTGATCTTGTTCCTCTTCTTAAACCTCTGTAACCACCCAGAGGAAGCATTAAAGGGTTTGGGCTCTGTAATTCCCATCTTTCGTGACACTGCAGCATACAGTTCACGTGCATACTCCTTAACAGAGCGCGTGTCCACCTCCATGTTCCGTCGCGCCTGACGCACCAAGTAGCTCACAAGTAATTTTTCCGTCTTGAGAAGCACCTGGTTGTGGAAATACTTGATCATAGAAGCACCTGTAGACTTTGTGATGTTCATGTTCTCCTTTATCTTGGCTGCATCCTTCTTTATCGTCCGGATCGTAGATTCGTTCACACCATGCTGGCGCGCCAAATCAACCTGTCTTGTTCCTTTCTCCAACTCTTGGATGATCTTGTACTTCACCTCGTAGCTTAAGGAACGTCGTGTCTTCTTTGGCTTAGGGCGGCTGGGTCCAGGTAAGAAAAGGCTTCTCTCGGGGGGCGGTGGTCCGGCGGAAGCCATTTTACAGAACAATGGATGCACGATTACACGGTGTGGCCTGGAGGGATGAAACTGCCGCGGCTAGGTCAAGCGTCGTCTTTCCTCCCTCCCTCCCTTCCCCGGGTGGACACGTCATATTACTTTAAAGCAATTACAGTTAGCAGTGGAGGGAGGTAGGGATGCATGGCCAATCACAGTCCGATACGTCATATGACGTCACTGATAACGCAACAGAGACATGCACTGCGCAACCTTACCGCACGGCTTGCCCAGGTGGAGGCGGGAGCAGGCGGGAGGGGCGAATTTATAAAAATAGCGTCGAGCCGGACACTCCGCGTAAAGGGGTACACGCACCGCGGAATGTGAGCATTCCGGTTTCGGCAGGGTACCGCATAAACGTGGAAACGCGGAATGTGGGACCGCGCAAAGCGAGGGTTGACTGTATGTATTTACCTATCTTAATACCTATTCGCTGCAAATAATTAATTTAGAAAATTTTATTTGCATAATTTTTCATAAAAAGTGCTTGGCAACACTCACCAGTCGGTCGCCAGTCTGCCTGGCTGTCTTTGTGTTTGGTAGAGCAAGTAATGCATAAAATAATAATAATTCCACAAATAAATACATTTATAACATAATCATAGCATTATTTTACAGTAATACTACCCTACAATACAACTACACTACTTTTAGCAATATTACTTTGATACAACATGATAAAATGGACAAGTTTCCCTGTGGCTGAGCGAGTGGTGTGAGAAGCAAATACAGCTGCTCCCTGACTTATGACGGGGTTAGGGACCGACATCCAGGTCGTAAGTCGGAAATGCTTAAATAATACTTAGAAAATCTAAAATGGATGTCTCTTTTTCTTCTCAGCACCACAAAACACTCACTTTTAAGCTTGCCAGCCATTTTAAAGTGTATTACAGATGAAAATTTTGTCTGTGTACTGACTTTAAGACTCAAAAATACATAATTTGACCAAATTTTGGTACGACTGAGGCAGGTCGTAAGTGCGGGTAGACGTAAGTCGAGTAGGTCGTAAGTCGGGGAGTACCTGTAGTCACACTGGAACCTGATAATCCATGCTGGGCATTTAAACTGGCGGGAATAGGCACGCATTCTGGAACGTCACCTGGGGCTCGCTGGACGGACGTTCTGGAACGTCACCCGGGGCCTAAGGGTTAAAATGGCTGGCAAGTGTAAAGTGAGAGTTCTCGTGGTGCTGAGAAGAAAAAGAGACACCCATTTTAGATTTTCTATGTATTATTTTCGCATGTTCATCTTACGACCAATCCGACTTACGACCTGGTCGTTGGTCCCTAATCCCGTCTTAAGTCGAGGACTGACTGTACATCCTTCTATCCTCACACAGCCAAAATTGTGGAATGCTCTGCCTTCTTCTGTGTTTCCACCCTCTTGCAATGTGTCACTTCAAAAAGCTGGTTTTCTGGCATCTGTGTGGTGTAGATTTACATAGTCATTTTCGCTTCTAATTTTTATTTCTTTTTTCTTTTTACTTTTATCCCCCCCTCCCCCTAGGCCATGTTGTGGGTCGATGACTGTGTCCGGGTGGGTTATTCCCTGTAAAAACAAAACAAAACGCATTTTGTATCTATACTGTTATCTGTGGAAGAATTAGAATTTCCTAATTACTGTGTGTGAAAATTGTAGCTTATGCTAAATTGATTTTAAGAATCTCAAGAAATAGAAAAAAATATTAGGTACTGTACTGTACTGTATCTTTGTTCTAACAAAAATCATGAAAATTGTTAAACAGGTAAGGGAGGGTCCTTTAATACAGCTCTTCTTTCCAAAGGTCTGGTTTGGGGTTTGTTGGAATCTGTGGGCGACTTCAACGAGGGTGTGCGACAGACGGTTGCAGGATCTCTCATAACATTAGGGCATCAGCATCCAGCTTTAGTTCTATCTTCTATCCACAAGTTCATCTCTAGTCCACAGACTGCTCCAAAGGTTAGTGACGTTTTACATACAAAACTTCTTTTAGAAGTACTGTAACTCTTGGAATGTTATTTGAAGGTAAGTGGTGGCATATTTCACTCTACTGAAATTCACTTGACCTATCTACATTTACATTTCAGGTAAGTGAGTCCTGTTGTACTGGCGACAATAAAATGTTAAACAAATTTAGGATGAGGGATTTTTTAGTACAGGCATTCCCTGATATACAAATGGGTTCTGTTCCTGAAAAACCATCATAAGTTGGAGCACATTTTTCCAAAGACTTCCATTATAAAACCTGAGATATGTTCAATAGAAAAATTATTTCCCAAAACACCTTAAGCAATAATACAGTACTTGATGGGTGACTACCTGGCTCTAAAACACCAGATGCCACTGGCACAAAGACTCTACTGGAAACAAGCATCTTATGGCTTTATGAACTGTCCTTGGTTATATTGACTGATTATAAAGCCACAAAACATTTTTATGAGAAAATGTTGGTATATGTTAGGTGTTTTCTTGAAGGAAGGAGAAACAGTGTAGCAGCCGAGGACAACATAGTGATCCATGCTACAAGCCTGACAGGCTGCAACTGGTGCAGACTCTCCGCTACCCGGGGTTGCCAGGTAGGCGCCAACATAATATTGTCTACATCTTACAGTATACAGTACACAATAATTATACAAGTACACCACTGATTTTCCATCCTTGGTTCAAGCCGCTGGATTATCCGTTTTGGACCAACCGAGGTCAGGTAATAATAATACAACAGTACACTCTGACCCACTAATGATACCTCCTGTGTCTCTAAAGCACCATGGACTGCTAGAAACTTAAACTAAACTATGTGATGTTTATACTTAAATTAATCACTATCTTACAAGGATTCCAGCAATGTAATTTATGTTCTGGTAAGTCTAGTCTACCATTTATTAGATAAAAACTTGCCTATTTAACCACCTGGCAGGGGGTGGTTGTTGACAGCTGTCAGGGAAATAACAAAGTGCATAGTTATCAAAACAGGAGTTTATTTTTTACCTTTATAAAATGTCACTAAATTGACTTGGCAGTATATAAATTGCATTGCTGGAATCCTTGTAAGATAGTGATTAATTTAAGTATAAACATCACATAGTTTAGTTTAAGTTTCTAGCAGTCCATGGTGCTTTAGAGACACAGGAGGTGTATCATTAGTGGGTCAGAGGTGTATTATTGAATTATTATTACCTGACCTCGTTGGTCCAGCAAAACGGATAATCCAGCAAGGCCTTGGAACCAAGGTTCTCACATATGAATATGAAAGCAACACTTATTTACTGTTCATTTACAGTATGTTTTAAATAATATTTACAAATATAATAAAAAATTCTACTCACCAATGCTGGTAGAAGCATAAGGACAGCCAATGAATATTGAAGCAGTTTTTGGCTGAAGCTGTAGGTTCAACTCTGGCTGAAGCTGTAGCTTTCCATAGCTGTTGCTGAAACTCTTGCTGAACCTGAAGTTGATGTTGAAGCTGCTTATAATGCTGAAGTTGATGGTTTAGGCCTTCGAATAATAAAGCTGTTGAAAGAACCTTGCACAGCTGTTTTTCTCATTATATATACAGGTTGTACCTCTCCTAGTCCGCAACCTGACCTGACGGTGCCGACCATGGAAATTCACCTTTCCTGGATAGATAGTGACTTGTGCTTATGCCTGGAAGCACTAGCACCACTTTCTGCGTCATGGTCTTTGAAGACATATTGAAGGGTTAAATGTCGTATAGTAGCTTCTCAAATTTCGAAGTTTTAATTCTTAACGATTTATTGGAACACACAAAAAATAAATAAATAAAAATTTTGACGGGCGAAACTTGAATTTCGACGAGGTTTGAACGTCAACGCAGCAGACGCAGCGGCATAACGGTAAACAGCGCCATTTTTATGTACAGAAGATTCATTATTGTTTATTACTGAATGTCTTTTATTGAATTAATGTTTATGTGTGCAAATGAGCAATATCAATTAATAATATCGTAGAATATTAAAACACACGATGAAATGACACAGCATTGTTTCATGGATTACAAAACCAGTGACTGACTGGTTCTACATATAAAACTGAAGAAAATAAGACCTTGGTTGTAGCTGTAGTAAAATTAATATGGTTGTTTTAAGTAATGTTATTTAATGTTAATAAATGGAACAATAGAAGTAGCTAACGATAATGGTAAAGAAAAAGAGAGAGATCGTGATATGTATGTGCTCATGACACGGAAAACATATCACATTATTTACAAAGAATATAGAAAGCAACACTTATTTACTGTTTATATATATTATTTTAATTAATGTTTCTGAATTTGTTTTATTGAATTAATGTTGCGGTGTGCAAAATTAACAATACATTTATTAATAATACGTGGAATATTAGAGAGACTAGACGGCTGTCGGCATTGTTTATGTTAAAGTTTACTAAAACCAGTGACTGATTGGTTCTACATATAAAAAACTGAAGAAAATAAGACCCTGAGTTTTGTAGTAAAATTAATGTAAAAAATGAATATGGTTGCTTGAAGTACCTGTAATGTTATTTAATGTTAATAAATGGAACAATATAAGTAGCTAACCATTAATGGTAAAAAGGAAAGTGAGACTGCTCGTATATGGAAGACATGTGAAAAATATATCACATACTCTACATAAGAATATGAAAAGCAACACTTATTTACTGCTCATATATATTGAAGGGTTAAATGTTGTACTCTGTATAGACAAGCAGAGAGAGAGAGAGAGTAGCCAAACTGCTGGATGTAAACAAACCTTAATTTCTGCGCTTTTTTTTGATTAGCCCACCCGCATAGGTCACTGACCCACATTGGGGCCTGAGGGCAAAATTTAATAATAATAATAATAATTCAGATAAATAAAAAAAAAAAAAGCTGCCTATCTACCTATTGGACAAACTAAAATCGTTCCGGACCACGGGAGTTTCCGGACCACAGGATGCCGGACTAGAGAGGTACAACCTGTATTTATGTAGAGGTCATTTGCATTTATTTAAATTTTAATGCTTTGTTCTGTTAATGGATCCACTTCAGAAAATATGTTCATTGCTTGCTCCATATAATATCCACAGACCTCTCACCTTTTCGTATCGTTTTAACACATCTAGTTTCTCGGCTAAGCTTATACACTTTCTATCAGCTTTTAAAACAACACTACTATTACTTGCTCTCTTGCTCATGCTGAATAGGGATGCAAAAATGCTGTAAGAAACCTGAGAAAGTTTTTCTCCAGTTCCTGTTCCAGATGCGTGAAAACAAAAGGCCCGCCAAGCTCTGACTGTTGTTTACCACTCAATAGCAAGGCACTTTCTTTGCACAAGGCGCTCTTAATTTTTTTTAACAGTATTTTTTTTTTTATAATACGTATCAGGATTTAGTTATTATTTATATGAAAATGGAATTTTATTTTATTTTTATTATATTTTGGTCATAAATACGAATGAAATAAGGACTTAAATTGAATTGGGTCCTAAATTAACTAGGGTTTTAAATATGAAAACTTGTTGGTCGAACCGTTGTTATCGGAGGCTTTACTGTATTCTGAGGTGTAAACAGTCTCTTCACTTAACATGTGGCCGGCACTCACAATTGTGCGTGGCGATAACACTCCCCCTGTCGGGCTTTGCTCGAAATTATGGCCTACCATTAGATTCACTCTCCGAGCTCTTCCAACAGGCAGAGTCTCGTCGCTGGGCGTATTAACACTGAGTCCTTTGTCTTCACTTTAACACTTTGCACCAGGCCATTTTTGCTCCGTAGTGCCCCCAGTACTCTCTCTAGCATGCACTGGCTCCTCGGGAGGGGTTGTCCAGAGATGATCACAATATCCCCAGCGTGGAGATTACAGTGAGTTTTGTAGAATCTTTGTCGCTGACGTAGTGTTGGGAGATATTCCTTTACCCACCTCTTCCAAAATTGATCCGTGATGAATTGGGCATGCTTCCAACTTCGTCGGTAAGTTTATGCCATGGACCGATCGCCTCCGGTGTTCAGTGTCTCCGGGTTCATCCGTAGTATGTGAAGCGGGGTTAGTGCTTCTAGATCCTTTGGGTCGTCAGACAGTGGGGTGATGGGCCTTCCATTACCTAACCCCATAATTTATTGAGGTTTACCTGTCCCAGTAAGCATAGTGATAGACAGTTAGTAAGTGCATGCTGTCAGACAGTCCACTACACATTACTGTATGGTGTATTTGTATGTGGTTTCTGGAATTTCTTTAGATAATAAGAGATTAAAACAATAAGCTTGATAAACAATGAACTTAAGATTTGAGAAGTCATAGACAAGTTACTGCATTATTGAATTCCTTTATTTTGAATTTACAGGTACAGGTACAATCCATCTTGTACAATACAACAGAGAATATAGTACGTGAGTGTGGGGAGAAAATAGAAGATCCAGAGTTGATTGGCACATGGATAGAAGGAGCAATCAAGCTGATGACACTACCGTCAGTAGCACCTGACCTTCAGGAAGCTGCCTCAGGGCTAATGGTAGCACTTGGTAGTAACCCTGCCCATTGTAATGCTGTGAGTATTTATAATTGATGTATTATCCACCTGTTACTACAGGTTGACAACCCTTTTCCGAAAGTCCGAAAACCGAAAAGCTCTAAATACCGAAAGTTTTTTTTTTTTTAACAGTGTTTATTAGCCCACCCAGGCACAGATCACTGACCCACATCGGGGCCTGGGAGGTGAAAATGTAATAGTAATAATAATTATACTAATAATAATTATTCATAGTACAGTAAATAAAATTTTTAATAATTATACACCAAAATAAAATAATAATGATTACAATAATAATACGTAATAATAATAATTTATTATATTTTAGACCCCCAGGCCCCAATGTGGGTCAGTGGTCTATGCCCGGGTGGGCTAATACACATAAAAAAAAAACCTAACCATTCTGAAAACCGAAAAATTCCGAAAACCGAAATGCCTCTGGCCCCAAAGATTTCGGATAAAGGATTGTCAACCTGTATATGCTTAGAGACATACAGTACTGTATATCAGAGGGCTCTGTCCATCTGTCCATATACAGCTAGACCCCGACTTATGACGGGGTTAGGGACCCAAATCCAGGTCGTAAGTCCGACATAGATGAAAAAAAAAAAAAAAAATTTTTTTTTTTAAATAAATAATCTACAATGAAATACAGTATAGTAAAAGTAATAAATAATGAGGAATGGATACAGTACAGTGAAAGTAATAAATAATAAGGAATGGTTACAGTGTGACAGCACTTACCTTTAATGTAGTCAGCTGAATGCACATGGGCCCCCATAATTTTCTAATTATACATGGAGACTACATTAACTGGAAACGTTTCGGTATAGAAAATGCGTGTCATTTGAAAAAAACAAAAATTAATAAAAATTCTGTATGTGTCGTGAAGTCCCCACGAAGTCCACATAGAATGTAAGTCGGGTTCAGCTGTGTGTATATATATATATATATATATATATATATATATATATATATATATATATATATATATATGTATGTATGTATGTATGTATGTATGTATGTATGTACAATGTACATATATAGTATATATATATATATATATATATATATATATATATATATATATATATATATATATATATATATATATATATATATATATATATATATATATATATATATATATACATTCAACCCTCACTTTACGCGGTCCTACATTCCGCGTTTCTACGTTTACGCGGTGCCCTGCCAGAACCCAGGATGCTCACATTACGCGGTGGGTGTACCCCTTTACACGGGTGAAGTATAATTTTTTTATTTAGCTCATAAAATTCATACAAATTATCCGGCCAGAATATAATTTACATTGGTGGAATTCTTACAATTTGATGATCATTTTGAATATAAACATCATAGATTTTGCATTAGACATACAAATTTTAGATATAATGTTTACTCTTGAGTAAATATGTTATCTTTTGTGCAAAATATATGACATTTATATTCAAAATATTCCTGGTCTTACAAGGAATCCATCAATTCTTGGTCCATTGGCTGTATTAATGACATGGTGTTGGGAGGAAGGAAGACCACTTTTACGTTGGGGTGACGATCTAACAGTAGGGGCGAGTGTCCTGGTGTGTTGTCAAGCAGCAACAAAATCTTGAATGGAACATTGTGTTGCTCACAGAATTTCTTTACGTCAGGAACGAAACAGTCATCAAACCAGGAGAGGAACAGAGTAGAGAACATCCACGCCTTACGTGCAGTCAGCCAGTGGACATTTAGCTTGGTCATGTCCATGCTCTTGTAGGCGTGCGGCTTGCGTGCTATGTGGATCTCCGATAACTTGAGCTTACAGGTACCAGAGGCATTGGTGGTAAACAGGACGGTGATGTGCTCCTTCTGCAACTTCCGGCCCCGACACTTGCTGGCATTCTTCACAACGAAGGTCTTGGAAGGTAGCTTTTTCCAAAAAAGACCAGATTCGTCCATGTTAAACACCTGGTCGTCGGTGTACTGTCCATCCTCCATAATCTCACGTAAAAACGGAGGAAATTCCCCAGCCACAACACGGTCAGCACTAGCTTCTTCACCACCAATGTTAATGTTGGTGATCTTGTTCCTCTTCTTAAATCTCTGTAACCACCCAGAGCAAGCATTGAAGGGTTTGGGCTCTGCAATTCCCATCTTACGTGACAATGCAGCATACAGTTCACGTGCGTACTCCTTAACAGAGCGCGTGTCCACCGCCATGTTCCGTCGCGCCTGACGAATCAAGTAGCTCACAAGTAATTTCTCCGTCTTAAGAAGCACCTGGTTGTGGCAATACTTGATCATAGAAGCACCTGTAGACTTTGTGATGTTCATGTGCTCCTTTATCTTGGCTGCATCCTTCTTAATTGTCCTGATCGTAGACTAACACCATGCTGGCGCGCGAGATCAACCTGTCTTGTTCCTTTCTCCAACTCTTGGATGATCTTATATTTAATTTTGTAGCTTAGGGAACGTCGTATCTTCCTTGGCTTAGGGCGGCTGGGTCCAGGCAATGCAAGGTTTCTTTGTGGTGGTGGTCCGGTGGAAGCCATTCTTATGGAACAATGGATCCCGATATACACTGTGTAGCCGGGAGGGGTGTAACTGACGCGGGTAGATCAGGGACTTGAACGCTCCCACGGCGGGGCACGTCATAGTACATTAAACCAATGACAGATAGCGGGGGAGGGAGGTAAGGATGCTTGGCCCAATCACAGTCTGATACGTCATATGACGTCACCGATAACGCAACAAAGACATACACTGCGCAACCTACATACATACATACATACCAACAACAACAGCAGCAGCAACAACTAAACACAGCTCTGATGTTTTTTATGATTATGTTCATTGTACTTTATTAAATTTGTTGACTGATAACTGGAAGTGAGCATTTTAATGTTGTGTCTGCATAAAAAATAATTACATTTATTTAGGTCAATGTGACTAATATATATCTTTATTTTTCACAGGTGATGGAGAGCTTAGTATCCCAGATCCAAACTGGAATATTGCCCTCTCAGAGCATTGTTGAAACTCTTGGAGCATTGGCTGCTGGCAATGTCAAAGGAACTGTGCCATACCTGAAGATATTATTAGGTCTTATTGTTGGGTGTCTTCCTCAAGTGAAACAGGATAGCCTTAAGATGGCATTGGCTGCTATGTTGAGTAAATTTTCAGAATCCATTTTAGAGGCTGTAGACAACAAAGAACCTGATCCTAATATCACTGTTGACTCTTACATGAATGAAGGTGCTGCCATATTTGAGTTATTAGTTCATCTTTGGTTGAAAAGTTCCAATGCAGGTGTGAGGCATGAAACAATAGTGTGTCTTGGTCATATGAGTCATCTTCTTTCCAAAGAGAAGCTTGAAGAGCTGGCAGGGTTAGTAGTGACCACTATTCTGTCGCTGTATCGTAAAACTTCCTCTCCATACAGCCTCACTTTATCATTAGCTTTATTAATGGATGCATTGTTTAGAAATAACCTCACAGAGGGTATGAAATTTCATGTAGATAATTTACTAAGCAGTTTGTTCAACCAGGTTTGTGTCACCCCCAATTATGCAGAACCTTTCACAGTCAAGAACCATTACGAGGTACTACGTTGTTATGAACTTCTTGGAAATCACTATCCTGAAAATTTGATGAATCACCTGTTACAAAGGCTTGAGAATGCTAGTCACATGCAGAGGGTTGGAGCCCTGGTAGTGACTAAACATCTTGTAAATAGCAAAACTCTCAGTAAAGAGAATATTTCTAACTTAGTTTCTGCACTAAACACAATTCTAACTGACCCAAATAGCAAAGTGGTGAAGAGTGTTACACAAGTCATTGTTGCAATGTGCCACAATAGTCATCTTACTGCACCAACGAGTGATCCATTTATCACATACTTAGTCAAACACTCTGCTGGTGGGGCTCCACCCCAAGGTCGAAGACCATCACTGGCCGAGCCAGAGGGAGAATCTGTGTCCGAGGTTAGTCGTCGAGTACTTCATTTGCTAGCCACCACTGTAGAGGCTGCTAAACCCTTATTATGGCCACATTTACTGAACTTTGTATGTAGTGCAGAACATGATGCTAGTTTACCTTTAACTCTAGGTTGTTTAGCACATTTGGCCAATAATTATGCATCATTTAATGAAGGGGAACCACTTCTAGTAGGTCATCCAGGACCCCCTACTGCTCCAGTGCTACTCTCACGGTTATTGGTGCTAAGTTGTGTGCCAGGTGATGGAGTTGTTGGGATAGCATCTCTGAAACTTCTGCAGGGCCTGGCAGCTCATGTCAGCCCCAGTGTTGTAGAACCTTGGAACCAACACCTTCCACAGCTCCTGACAACATTTCAAGACCTGACAGTGAAGGGTGATGCTGAGCCTGCTGCAATGCAGGTAAGTGTTTGATTATCTCATGTGAGTTTAAGATTATTAGCACTCTCGGGATTATTGACTCATTTGTGACGTTTTAATTTAATGTAAATGAAACTTTTGCCTCATGATCAGGCACACCACCCTGGCGTATAGTATATTTTCTCTAAAAATTCCTGGTCGAATTACTTCAAATTTTTAACGCCACTTTCTTCACGCCACTCTCCTACATGGAACCAAGTTTTAAGGCTAGGTGGCAACCCGTCTATGTGCGGTGGACCATGTGGCCTCCAGACAAACAACAGTTATGCGTCTAGCTCAGTAAGCAAGAGGTGTGTGTCCCAAGCATGATTTAAAAATGGTCACACTCTCCAAATATTTATTACATACAACCTCGATATTTATTCTTATGAAGTGATAAAGGGATGTGTATTGAAATATTTTTGAATTTGTGAACCTTTGGTGAAATGGCTACTCACAATACAGTTGCATATACCACACAAAAGCATGTCGTAATATATAGGCCTAGCTTGGAAAAATAATAAGTGATAGTGAAATGTCGTGCAGTAGAGGCATGCATATGGGAATGGTGAATTGTAATGAATATATTGTGGTTATTTGATCCGTATTCCTAACAGTATCGCCATTGTCGTGCATATGCCAAGGCCTACCTCATCTGAGTTGTAAATGGAAATATTGTTGCCAAAATTTCAATTTTTGTCACAGAAACATCTAACTGGTCTATTTCTCGTCCTTAGTATGTGTACAGCAATAATCCATAGAAAAATTCCTTTCGAAAGATTTCAAGAAAAACTAGCAAGGAAAAAGTGTACAGTATAAACATTTCGGTGACTGGGTGCCTAATCACCACTTATTTTTACTTTTTATTCTGTAACTCCATTACTTTTTACAATATGTTTTTTTTATTACACCATCATTTTTCTCATGATTTACTCTTTTTTGTCATATGCATTTTATACTGACTGATGCGATGTGGGTACAGCATCAAGAGGAATCAACAGTAAACTCTCACTTTTCACTTAATTTTGCCAAAATGGCTTTTATGTGTTATGTTATGTTATTGAAGGTGTCATATGATTTACCAGTCCTATTTACATAGGAATTCATCATTTGAATAAATATTTGACAATATCTTAGCCAAGAATAGTGCTGGGGGAAAAAATATCTGCTCCACAATTTCTGGTCATTTTGTGGGCTTCAAACAGAGCGAGTGACAGGCTCATTAAATAAATTTCAGACAATCCCGAGAATGTTAGTATCAGCTATATAAAGTTAAAGGTAATAAAGGATATATTTATTGAAGTTACTAAATAATCATGCTTTTTATACAAAAAGAATTGATTTTATGCAAGTTTTTTAATACAGTAAACCCTCAATTTGCACAGTACAGTATAGTCTGCATTTACGTGGTCAATTGAACTCGTGGAGGCCCGCGTAAAACGAAAAACGTGTAAATGAAATAACAGAACATATGGGATCAATTGAAATAGAGACTGGGCCGACCCCCAAACTCACTTTTTCCGACACAATACGTACGTTGTAGTAAAAATATCATCTTAATTTTATGATGGTATAGACACACAATTAATAATTAAGAGAAATATCATTAATATTATGTTTTTTAACACTTACGTTAGCAGAAAAGCTGGGTCGGCACACATGGATGGCGGCTGGTTCCGAGGCAGAGGGCAGATTAGTTGCCCTCCAGTGAATCACTTTCGCTTTCACTACTCGCAGAGGTTTGCAGGGCCTCCCAGACAAACCCCTCAAAGTCCATATCCTCACTGTCAATATCACTATCACTGACTTGGGCTGACTGTGGTTGTGGTGGGTTGCAGGCGAGGAAGTCCTCAATACTACGTTGACGACTAGTATTGATGTTGTCGAGATAGACCCGGATATACGGCTCCATAACTTTCGTCAGATGGTTATTAGACACTTCATACCGATGCTTGTCTGGGTCATTGTCAAGGATGAGCTTAATTTTCTTCCCCAACTCGATGATTTCCTTCACATTATCATGGCTTGGTCCAGGGAATTCAAGGTTTTCACGGGTGGTGGGGGTCCCGCTGAAGCCATTGTGAGGGGAATAGCGGGCACAAGAGAGAACTGTATACACGGACTGAGAACAATGAGACAGGCCCGGCTAGGTCAGCGACTTGTACCCTCTCGTGGTCATGTTACATTAGACCAATCACAGCTAGCGGCAGAGGGAATGCGTGGGTGGTAAGGATGCGTGGCCCAATCACAGTCCGATACGTCATATGACGTCAGCGATAACGTAAGAGCGGCCTAATGCCCACCACTCACCGCGCCGCTTCCCGCGTATGGTCAAGAATGGACCGTGTGGGTAAAAAATGATGCGGTGGTCTGAACCTCTCCAGCCGCTCGCCGCGTAAATGACCAAATTTACCGCGTAATTAAAGCATTTTCATTCTGGCAAGGCACCGCGTAAATGATCAAACGCGTAAACATAAACCGCGTAAATCCAGACTAAACTGTAGTTATTTTTATTTTATTTTTTGTACTGTTTTTCTGACAGTAGATGATCATTTTACCCTGCTTGATGGGCGGTTCACTTGCATGGTTAAGCCTAAGGGCAGTTGGAGACCCCCCCCCCCCCACAGGAGAAAAAAAAATTGAGGTAACACGCTAACACAACTTCATCCTTGACCACCGAAGGGTCAAGACGTACCTGGCACTGCTCTGGCAGCAGCCAGGTTAACTGTTATGTTGGCCCATACCATGGTTCATAGGATCACTACCAAAAACCCAGGGCACCAGGCCAGAAAATGCAACAGAGAGTAGGGGATGGGCACAGATCTGGTGACCCAGTTGAAGCAAATTTTTAACTCTGGTTGCCCTTCCTAATGCCAACCCATAAGCCTAATGCTATTAGTTGGGGTTATGTTCATAAAGGTTATTTTTTATGATTTTTCTCATGCACTGTTACTGTACTTCACTTGAATGGGTGGAAAAAGTATCAGAAGTGAAAAGGGTAAATGTAAGAATTATGGTTTTGATGCTGCAAGTGGGAAAGGATCTGATGACTCATATGTGCATGTTGCATGTAATGTCAGAGCTGGGTGAGAGATATAGTGGGGGTTTAATTACCTGTCTGTGGCCAAAAGGTTTGATGGTATTTTTTAAATGTATTGTTATGCCGAGGTTAAATTTAGTATTATAATTTTTGTGAACTAGGTGTTTTGATTATTTTTGTATTTGAAGTAACAATTATTTTGGCAAGTTCTGGGAGATTTTCTTGGACAGTAATATCTCCGTTGGTCGGAATCCCTCAAACTCAGAAATTTCCGATAGCCGGAATTGAAATTTGCTTGGAAAATCATTCCCAAAGCCGGAATTTTCCAAAAATTTCCAGCTTTCGGAACAAATTTTCCAAGGTTGAAAATCGAGAGAATTTTCTGAAAATGTCTTGAATAAAGATGAAAGTTAAAGTATTTCTTTTGGGGGGGGGACCTGACCTGGCCTGACTCAATGTCAGGTGGAGGTAGGGTGGGGGATTAGTGGTCTCATATTACTGACATTCTGATGGAATGTCAGGTCACCTTTTCTTGGCTGGGGGATTAGTGGGTCTCATGACCTGAAGATGTCTTGAATAAACACGAAAGCTAAAGTATTTTTAGGGAGATTGTGGTAAGTATAAATGAGCAAAGTTGTAGCCCTTCAACATTACATTACATAACATTTTAAAATATGGAGTGAGAAAGCAGAAAGGTGTGGGTGATTAGAGAGATGGAGTGGAAATGAGTGTTGCCAAGCACTCCTCAACAGCTGATATTTAACTCGCAGTAACACACACGCAAATTTGTCAAACAATAAGACCCTCACTCCTTATGTCTGCTGTCTTAATTCCCTTGTTAGGAGTGTGTGTGTGTGTGTGTGCGCGTGCATGCGTGCGTGCGTGTGTGTGTGTGTGTCAACACTTTTTTGGGGGGTGAGGGGGGAAGTTCGTGCGGTCAGTTTTCTTACACCCCCCCCCCTTCCTCACTCAAGCGTGGCTAATTGTGATAGGGAAATGAATTTGATACCATAAAAAGACCCTTAATAAATTCTATACAAAATATTTCCAATAAGATATCCGTAAACGAAATATGTGATGGGAATTCCATTCTCTTATAAAAAAACGTAAGAAATGTTGATACTGGAGTCAGTAAAATCAGTTTTAATTTCGTTAGACACATAAGAACATAAGAATGGAGGAAACTGCAGCGGGCGTATTGGCCCATACTGGGCAGTCCCATTTACACCCAACCCCTATTGCTCATGTATCCATCCAGCCTATGTTTGAAGCTATCCAGCTTATTCGAGTTAATGATGATATTTGGTAACTTGTTCCACTTGTCCACTACTCTATTTCCAAACCAATGTTTACCTATTTCGCGCCTAAATCTAAATTTGTTTAATTTGAAACCAATGTTACGAGTTCGCTCCTGGTTGGGTAGTTTGAGTACCTTTGTAATGTCCCCTTTGTTCAGCCCTGACTTCCACTTATACACCTCTATCATATCGCCCCTCACTCTCCGTCTCTCGAGGGAGTGCAAACTAAGATGCTTTAGCCTGTCTCTGTACTCAAGGTTCCTAATGCCCGGGATTAGTCTTGTCATTCTCCTCTGAATTCTTTCCAAGGATTCTATATCAATTCTTTAATACTGTGACCAGAATTGAACTGCGTAATCCAAGTGAGGTCTCACAAGTGCAAGATATAGTTTTAAGATGACTTCGCTAGTCTTATAACTAACACTCTTTTGTATGAACCCAAGTACTGTACTTTATTAGCCGTGTTTCGAGCAAATACAGTGTTTACTTGGCTTAAGATTCCTACTTATCATTACTCCTAAATCGTTCTCGCAGTCGGATTTCTCTATGGCATCGTTGTTCATCTGGTATCTGGTTTCCCTGTTTACATCTCCTATACTGAGTACTTTACATTTGTCCACATTGAATTTCATCTGCCATTTTTCAGACCATTCGAAAAATTTGTT